CACGAGTCACGGTTTGTTTGTTAGTTTGCATCCTTGTCGGAGAGCCGCAACTGTGCCTATCACCATGAACTTCATGCCCATAGAGCAACTTTGCTCCCCTGTTCCTTGCAGAATTGACGTTGCAAAGTATGACTATCTTGCATGTTCTATGATTCCTCAGAGCTGAATGTCAAAGTTTTCAACTCAAGCGTAGGCATGCCAACTCTGAAATGCGAGGCTATGCCGTAGTTTCGGATAGTCAACACGCCGCATTCGAACTTCAGCAGTGGAGGGTTCCTCAGGACTGAAGGTGGATTTCCTGTATATCTAAATATAATAGTTGAGCAAAGTTGAAGTGGTGCCCACGTATTAACCGAACAGTCTCTTGACACTACTGCTACCACGACGAAACAATGGCTGCCATGAAATGTCACCATGGATCTCGACCCTAGTTTGGGAAGGTCTCGACAGGCCTGACTCCACACTCAACCAACATGTTTGGTCGATTTCAAAGAATTGAAACCATGCTTTGGTGGATGTTTGGGGCAGTCATTTTGACCTGTTCCGCGGTTTCTGGATGGTTTTGGTTGGGTGCCACCCAGTCTGAACTTCAAGTTGCTCAGAGCTGTGCTTGGCTCATGGGCGCTTCCACGGCTGTTCCCATGGCGCTCTGCGATGCCATCAGCCTGTGCCAGGCGTGTCACCAAGCTGGGGGTTGGTCGAATCCCCATGAATTTTCATCATCAGTTCAAAGGCAGAGATGATGAGAAGATTGCCCGAGAAGACTGATATGACATAGGAATCTGTGTTCACTACTGTTTTGTTGATTTTTGTTGGCTGGTTTAAACTCTGAGGAATTGAACATTGAAAGCCCCAGAAGGTGAGGAACAGTGGAACTGTAAAAACTCTACCACATTTCGAATCGATCTTGCAATTGTGGATGCGTTTTTTTCCTGGCAGAAAAGTGCTGAAGAGCTCAACTTGCGGCCTTTTTGTATCGAAACATAAAGGATGGTACCGCTGCAAAGCCTGCACCTTTCACAGTCTGTTGGGTTGTTGGGATACACAAAATGCTTTTTGCTGTGTGACAAGAACATGGAGGAATGATTCCAAGATCCTGTGTTTCCAAATCAGCTTCAGATGGCTGGAACACTCTTGGAGTCATGTGTGGCAAGGCATCTCAGCTAGAGTTCCGACACTGCCCAATCAGGTTCAAGTCAGGGTACAGGGCCCTGGGGCAAAGATTTTGCCCACATTTGTACAGTTCAAAGTACATAAACATGATGGCAGTTTGCGGAGATCAGTGAGACGTAGGCTGGGAAACTTGAAATTCCTTGGCCTTCCACATCGCTGTGTGCCTCGTTGGAGACAATGGAAGGATGTGAGGTGATTGATTCTTTTTCCCGTGAATGCCTTCAGATTCCCTTGGCGCTGAAACAGGTTTTGCCAGGTATTCTTAGTTCACTTATTCTCTTGCTGGTCGGACTCTTTCTGGTCTATATCTACCTGTCTCGGAATGCGAGAAGGCCTCTTGCCCGTCGCTTGAGCTTTGCTTTGATGATTCTCGGCCTCCTACTTGGAGTTCCCAAGTTTCTGTCGCAAGTCGCAAATCCGACTCGCTTGTCTTCAACAAATCTGGCCCTTCATGCGATTTTCGCCGTGGGCGATGTTGCAAGCCATGTCGGCTTCGTGATGCTCATCTACTGGGACATTGTGAACGAGGGCATGCGCTTGGCGTTTGCTTTGGATCCCAAAAATCAGAGGCGCGGCGTGAAGATGAGCACTGCTGCGGGGCTGATTTGTATGTTGGTTGAGGGCATTTTTCTCACAATCTTTTGGATCTTAGTGTACGACATGGAGGAACTTCTAGACGAAGACTGCAGAGATGCCCGGTTTACCCTTTCCAGCACATTTGCCCTGGTGCAATATGCGCTTGTGTTTGGTGCTATACCATCCTTAGCCTTTGGTAGGCTGCTGTGGGGTTTGCACAAACTATGGAAGGATCTGCCCAGGGACATTCCACGCCACTTGCTATACCGCCTGCGATTTACGCAGTTGTGTCTGGCATTGCTCACACTTCTCGGAATTACAGATGGGATTGTTGGACTGGTCGTGGGGTTTATTCCGTTCTGGACCAGCTTTTCTGGCTTCATCTATGACGATGTGGCATTGAATTGCCTGAGCTCTCTCACAATTTTGCTGTTGGGAATAGAAGTCTTTCTGACGCATCAGCAAGCCAAAAGGAGGACAGGGTTTCAGTGCCACTCCTGGGCAGTCAAACCTCCCACTCTTCTAGACGCCTTATTTTTGAATGTTTTTCAAGATTTCAACTGCTGCAGGATCAACGGTTCGTTCCTTTTGGAGGAGGAACAAATTCGTCAACTGATCAAAAATGGGGTGTCCATCTTGGCTTCCAAGCAGCTGCGGCCGACCCTGCAACCCGACCACTTCGTGATGCCTCCGGTGTGGGAACGGGGACTGAACCAATGTATTGCGGAGAGGTTCCTCGATATCTATGCAGGAGCCACAGATCTTGTTACTAGTAGCTGAGAAGATCCGATAAGAACATTTTTAAAGAACGGGAATAACTGCATGTCAAACAAGGGAGCAAGGGTTACCTGTGATGATCGCTCACAGTACAGTAGATGGGCAAGAAGCAGGCCTGTTTCTTGCTCTCATTTTACAACTCATAATTATCTCATGTTCATGCCAGCGGGCGGAAAACCGCGCCAGTAGTCAGTAGTCGTGCACGTTTTTGAAAACACGCATATGTTACTGGGTCGGGTGGGGTGTGTTAATGTTCATGTTAACTTGCGTCACATGCATATGCTACGTCACGTCTTGGGTTGGGGAGGGTGGGGTGTGTTAACGTTCATGTTAACTTGCGTCAAATGCACATGCTACGTCACGTCTTGGGTTGGGGTGGGGTGTGTTAACGTTCATGTTAACTTGCGTCGCACGCACATGCTACGTCACGTCTTGGGTTGGGGGGTGGGGTGTGTGTGTTAACGTTCATGTTAACTTGCGTCACATGCACATGCTTCGTCACGTCTTGGGTTCGGGGGGTGGGGTGTGTTAACGTTCATGTTAACTTGCGTCACATGCACATGCTACGTCACGTCTTGGGTTGGGGGGTGGGGTGTGTTAACGTTCATGTTAACTTGCTTCACATGCACATGCTACGTCTGGGTTTCCCCGTGCTGGAATTAATTGTAGGATGCGCGCAGATGTTGACACAGATGTAAAAAAGCAAGTTTCTTTTCTGGGACATCAAAGTTGCCAGTGCCAAACGGGGTGGAAAGCCGCCTCCTGAGTCAGCTGCCCGCACCCTAGGGCACCATGCTATCCATCTTTAAGTCTCAAGTTTGGTTGGCGCCATGAAGCTTGCAACCACTCTAAAAGGGTGTTTTGTACAGAGAAAAGATTTAGAAAAACGTATTTTGATTCACACAGGTGGGGTCGATGCGAGGTGGCGGCTGTCAAAATCGGCCATACCATGTAGTCTTGCGACCAGAGTCAACAGCCAGGTGTGAACCCAAAACTGAGGGCAATGGCGTTGGGTGAACTCCAAATCAAAAACCTTTTGGAGGTCACTGGTCGCTCCTTGAAGAAGCGCATGGCGATGTGAGAGGACGAAAACACAGCGCGCGTTTTCAAGAGCACATTCCCTGTAAATTACCGGACATCATCAAAAATGCACTTCAATTTCCCAGGGAATTTAAATCTTATTTTGTGGAATGAGTCAATAGTTTCGCTTTGGCGACAACAACATTTTTTTCAATAAGCTCACAACCGCTGGCGCGGGTTTTCCACCCGACGGGATGTTTATGTATATATATATATATACAAATAATATATATATATATATATTTATAGATATTATGTATGTAATGTATGTAATGTATGTAATGCATGTAATGTATGTAATGTATGTAATGTATGTAATGTAATGGAATGTAATGTATTGCATTGCATTGCATTGTATTGTATTGTATTGTATGGTATGGTATGTATGTATGTATGGTATGGTTGGTATGGTTGGTATGGTTGGTATGGTATGGTATGGTATGGTGTGGTATGGTATGGTATGGTATGGTATGTATGGTATGTATGGTATGTATGGCATGTATGGCATGTATGGGATGTATGGGATGTATGGGATGTATGGTATGTATGGTATGTATGGTATGTATGGTATGTATGGTATGTATGGTATGTATGGTATGTATGGTATGTATGGTATGTATGGTATGTATGGTATGTATGTATGTATGTATGGTATGTATGTATGGTATGTATGTATGGTATGTATGTGGTATGTATGTATGGTATGGTATGGTATGGATGTATGGTATGTATGGTATGTATGGTATCTATGGTATGTATGGTATGTATGGTATGTATGGTATGTATGGTATGTATGGTATGGTATGGTATGTAAGGTATGTATGGTATGGTATGTATGTATGTATGGTATGTATGGTATGTATGGTATGTATGGTATGTATGGTATGTATGGTATGTATGGTATGCATGTAATGCATGTAATGCATGTAATGCATGTAATGGCATGTAATGGCATGTAATGGCATGTAATGGCATGTAATGGCATGTAATGGTATTGTAATGGTATGTAATGGTATGTAATGGTATGTAATGGTATGTAATGGTTTGTAATGGTATGTATTGGTATGTAATGTTAGGTAATGTTTTGTAATGTTAGGTAATGTTATGTAATGTGATGTAATGTTATGTAATGTCATGTAATGTTATGTAATGTTATGTAATGGTATGTAATGTTATGTAATGTGATGTCATGTTATGTCATGTATGCAATGTATGTAGTGTATGTAATGTATGTAATGTGTATGTAATGTATGTAATGTATGTAATGTATGTAATGTATATAATGTATGTAATGTATGTAATGTATGTACGTATGTACGGTATGTATGGTATGGTATGGTATGGCAGGGTATGGTATGGTATGGTATGGTATTGTATGTATGTGATGTATGTTATTTATGGTTTGTAATGTATGTAATGTATGTAATGTATGTAATGTATGTAATGTATGTAATGTATGTAGTGTATGTAGTGTATGTAATGTATGTAATGTATGTAATGTATGTAATGTATGCAATTTCTGTAATGTATGTAGTGTAAGTAATGTAAGTAATGTATGTAATGTATGTAATGTATGTAATGTATGTAATGTATGCAATGTATGTAATGTATGTAATGAATGTAATGTAATGAAATGTAATGAAATGGAATGTAATGTAATGTGTGTAATGTATTTAATGTATGCATGCGCGATTTTGTGTATGCTATGTATTTTATGTATGTTATGTATGTTATGTATGTTATGTATGTTATGTATGTTATGTATAATATGTATGTTTTGCTATGTATGTATGTATGTATTGTAATGTAATGCAATGTAATGCAATGTCATGTCATGTGATGTCATGTCATGTCATGTCATGTAATGTAATGTAATGTAATGTATGTAATGTAATGCATGTATGTAATGTCATGTAATGTAATGTAGTGTAGTGTAATGTAATGTACTGTAATGTATGTATGTTTGGCTGTATTGTAATGTAATGCAATGTCATGTCATGTCATGTAATGTAATGTAATTTATTTAATGTAATGCATGTATGTAATGTAATGTAATGTAATGTAATGTAATGTTGTGTAATGTAATGTAATGTAATGTATGTATGTATGTATGTATTGTATGTTTTGTTTGCTTTGTTATGTATGCTATGTATGTATGTATGTTTGTACTCATGTAACGTAATGTAATGTAACGTAATGAAATGAAATGTAATGAAACGTAATGTATTGTAATGTATGTAATGTATGTAATGTATGTATGCGTGTTTTATTTTTGTATGCATGCATGTATGTATGTTATGTATGTTATGTATGCTATGTATGTTATGTATGTTGTGTATGTATGTACTGTAATGTAATGTGATGTGATGTGATGTCATGTCATGTCATGTAATGTAATGTAATGTAACGTATGTAATGTAATGTATGGAATGTTATGTATGTATGTAATGTACTGTAGTGTAGTGTAATGTAATGTAATGTACTGTACTGTAATGTATGTATGCATGTATCTATGTATAGATGTATGTATGTATGTATGGATGGATGGATGGATGGATGTATGTATGTATGTATGCGTATGTAAGTAAATATATATATATATGCATTATATTTATTTTATGTATGTATACAGAATAAATAAATAAATATATATATATATATATATATGCAAAGCGCACAGGGTTTTAGTTCCAAGTGCGCAGCCCGCCACGCCCGCCACCTCCCGAAGTGCAGCGGGGCAGCCAAGAGGCACAGGTCTTTTCCAAAACCAACGGCGTAGTCGCTTCAGCAGAAAGTTCCCTCCCTGTGAGGGTAAAAGGGGCATATTGAGCTGGAAAAGTGGCCATATGGTAAAAAGGTTTTAAAACTGCACTGGCTGGACATGTTGCATGGACGTGCAACTCACACGCGGGAAATGTTACAAGTTAAAATTCTTTTCCCGGTGGTGCATCCACTGCACGCGTGCCTTGTCCATCAAAATGCCTAACTGGATCTGCGTCGACATTGGCTTCATACCCAGCACCCAAGTCTTGGGTCGCAACCTGCAGAGCACGTTGTCCCTTGATTGCAGTGTTGCGCATCTCCACGAAGGCTCGTTGAGCTTGAATGTATCCGAAGGTTCTTCGATCAAATGGAGCTCATCATACATCACAGTCAGCACGTTCGCCCTTCGGTTGAGCGCTCCCAAGTCAGTATAATGGCTGTATCAGCCCGCGAGTTCGCAGAGACAAGGGCGGCGGTGGCCGTATCGGCCTGCAAATTCGCAGAAACCAAGGCGGCATCCGCTTGATGTAGCTGCACTCTGACCTCATGCGGGTCATTCTCCAGTTGAAGGCAGCGTCGTCGCATTCAGAAAAATGCCAAATGGCAAAAACCAGAAAAATCACCAAAAACAAAACAACCAGAGCAAGTTGTTGTTGGCTCCCGTTGCAGCGATTTCCATTCCAGCAGTGAAACACATCTCTGTTGAAGCTCCTTCAGCCATCGGAAAAACAACAAAGGTTCCAGCACAGCAGTGTCAGAACACATACTTCAGCAAGTCCGTGGCCGGGAAGCTTGTAGCGCCATGGCTCGCGGCGTTGACATAGTCAATCACCGCCTCATTCTGAGCAAAGCACTCCTCCGCAGGAACTGCATTGGACTCAGGGGTCTCTTCATTCGCAGCAATGTCCTCGGCCTCAAAAGTTTCGTCATACTCATGGATCTCGGTCTCTTCAAGGAGGGTTTTGCAACGTGGTTATACTTTGGGGCCTTGATCTCGGCAGCGGGCAAAGGTTTTGAAGAAGACTGAATTTCAGCTTGTCGCTCTGAAAGTGGCCTCTTTTTGGCAGCAGTGTAGGCTGGATCGTAGAGGAACTTCACTTTGGCATGTCGAAGTCGATCTGCCAGGCTCTG